GGTGCGTATTTCGGTGGATCGTGCCACGGATCCAGCTTTCGATCCGGATGGATGCCGTATATATCCGGCGCTCGGCCACACAGCTGACCTGATGTACCGAAAGGGTTAATACGATTTCCATTTTACGCAAGTTATCGGGGCCCATCGATTGCCGGAAACAAACAGAGATTCCAACGAGGATTAAAATCGATCTAAGCATTGTTCGCTAAAATCCGTGGTCCAGCGAGAACAGACGGAAGCAGCGAGTACCGTCGTCTGGATTCAAGACGGACGTCCAGAATATGTAGGGTCGATGGCGCTGGATCGTGGAAACGGGCGATTTTCGGGCTTGCGGAAGAGAGGACACGAGGCGAGAGAGGCTAAGCGCCGCGAACGCGAAACGTTCCCACGATAATCGCCCCCTTCGATCGCCCCCCCCCCCTCCGGCCGTCTCGTCCCGTCTCGTCCTGCTTCGGTCTAGCCTACGCTACCCTCTCAGGACGAAGTAACAGGGGTTCGGAGCTCGAGGTTGCCTTTCACCTTGAATCGAGGAGCGAAAGAGAGAAGTTGCCCCCCACCAAACGGGGGAGCGGAGCAAGACTCCCCACTCCGTGGGCCGGAGTTGGGGCACGGAACGGGGCACGCGGTCGTGTGTCGTCCCCGGTCCTCCCGCACACGACATACGTCGGCCGCCACGCGACCAGTGCACACGCACGCGAGTGCGTCTCGCAGCAGCCAACAGCCAACAACAGCCAGCAGCCAGGAACCGCGCGCGGTGTCCGCCGAACCAACTCGGTCTACGCTTCTTCGGGCCGCGCGCAATTTGCTCGCGCATTTGCTCGCGCACGCGACCGCGACCGCGACCGCGAGCCGCCGGTGTCCTCCGGCACGTGTGAATCCGATCGACGTTCCCGCGTAACAAGTGTCCATCGCCGTGTCACGCGCGTCCACGTTCGGGCCGAACATCGGCCGACGATCTCTCGACGCGATGACGTCCCGCCCCGACGGATCCGTCGCGTTCGCGTTGCCGACCCGGTGCGTCCACTGAGCCGCGAATAAAAACAGTTCGCGGCGTCTCGCGTTCTTCTCGCGCGAACGGTTCACGAGTGCCCGCGATCGCCGAGTTTGCCAAGAAAATGTGGCGAGTGGTGGTCGCGCGGTCCGACGAGAACAGCACCCTGCTGTCCTCGGAGATCGCCTCGGGCCCCGTGGGCGCCGGCCACGTACCCAGCCTGCCGGGGCCGCCCTCCGGCCACCACTGGGGCTACCCGCCGCCGCCGCATCCCTCTTATCAGCCGCAGCATCCCGACATGCGGCACCATCACGACATGAGGCCGCCGCCCCACGAGCTTCGCCATACCGCCGGCCCGGACCCGAGGGCCCAGGAGATCAGGCACGACTCGCTGAGGCCCGACCTCAGGCCCGATCTCAGGCACCCGGACCTCAGGCACCCGGACATGCAGAGGCACCAGGAGCTGCACAGAGCCGAGATGCAGAGGCACCAGGACATCAGGCATCAGGAGATGACGGCCATGAGGCAGGACATCGCTGCCGAGATGAGGCCCGGGCACGAGTTCGATCTCAAGATCGACGTAGCGGACATCAGGAACCAAGAGCAGCCTGGTCAACAACAGCAGCAGCAACAGCAGCAGCAGCAACAACAACAGCAACAACAACAGTCGTCGCAGCAGAGCCAAGCGCATCAGCAGAGGAACCTGAAGAGGGCCATGAGCGACTCCGACTGCGACGACGTCTTCTCGGAAGAGAGCGGCAAAGAACCGTGAGTACACGAGGAACGATCGTCTTTCGATCGCTAGAAATGGGAATCTACCTACCGTTTCGAGACGATTCTCCGAAATCGAGCGGCGAAACGCTTTCGATTGCATTTATTGTAGAAGAGAACGAAAATCATTGCAATCTTGCTGTTTCTCTTCCGCGTATTGGCTTAGCAGATCATCCCAATTTGTAGGTGCGACAGTATTATACAGGATATTCATACGGG